CTTTCCAAAAGATATAGACCCACAGCTTAGGGATTCCAGCTTTTTTACTTTGATATCACGAGAAAAAAAATATTGCTGTTGAAACCGACCTCTTAGATATGATAGAAAGTCAGAATTTTCCATTTCCTCTTTCATCCTCTGTTTATCTCTAAAACAAGACAGTATGTAATAAAACCATAAGGCTTTATATCAACTTTCCCATCAACAAAAATTCTTATCACTAATTGGCAATATCTTGATGTAGCTACAGAAGTTTATGATAGATAATTACCTTTTTGGATGTTTAGAACTATGAAAAAAATACTTAATTTTAGACAGAAAACAAATGCAATTAGGTTGAGTTGTAGAGTTACACAATTCTCTGCGGCTTTTCTACTGCTACCCACCCATTACTCCATCCAGACAGTGACTTGCCATTGGCTAACATCACATAAATAAATAAAAAATAATCTAACGAAGTAAATAGCGATAATCCAACTAAAATGATCTAGTCAAAACTACTTAATAATGAAAGAGTTTGTGAGTTAATGATTTAATCTTTGATAATCAAGACGGATTTATGCAGTCTTATAGAAACCTGGCTGCAGGAAGAGGATTTGGTGGTCATAAATGAGGCAACTCCCACTAGTTATTAAAATTTTCACATACCCAAAAATTCTAAGCGAGGAGGAGGAGTAGCAATGATATTTGTCTATATATCTGACTTACTGATTACTCCAAAGCCCGTTAATAATTACAACTCTTTTGAAAATGTAATCCTTAGTTTCCCACATCCAAATTGTAACAACAATTGCTGCTCCATGTTTATGGAATTTAAGCAGAGTTGTTGGTGCAATGTTGTGATGTAAGTTCTTTGCATTCAAAAGTATCACGTCGACCCTGGTCGGATATTCCCACTGTATTATGATCAGAGCCAAGTTGTTGAAGGTGATTTTAACCCAGATCGCTTGCAGAGTCATTCAACGCATGTCCACGTGGGTCAATGAGCTTTTCTCACTGTTTGGCCAGTGAAAAAGGGGTATCAGACATGATTTCCTTTGTTCAAAATGTTGATAATCTCACACATTCTCATCTTCATACTTTGGAACTTATGCAGATTTGTAGAGTTCTCCTTCCCCAACAGTAGGTTAAACTTTAGCAGAATGTAGCCCCTTTGCAAAAGAAAAACATTAAAAATAGAAAGCTGGCTCCTTTGTTTTATACAGAGCTGCACACTTTGAAGAACAATGCTAGGAAAGTGCAGAAAAAATGGCGGTCTACATACAGTATCAAGTCTGGAAAAACAGTTTACTGCTGTATAAAACGACCTTTCGTAAAACTAGAGCAGCAAATTTCTCCTCCTAATAAATAAAAATAATCTTAGATTTCTTTTTAGTACAGTTGCCAAACTAACCCAGGGCCATAGTTCCTTTTAATCATCCATTCCCTCTGCAGTAATGATTTTATTGGATTCTTTATAAATAAGATTGATTCTATTTAAAACAACATAATTGCCCTCCTCTACATATGATTGGTTTATCTCTGGAAGGTAAGACAGCATCTGAAATAACTACAGAATCTGAAAAGTGTTTGGACTGTTTTCATCTAGTTGAAATTTCAGAGTTAGCAAAACTATTGTCTTTATCTAAGCCTTTAACTTGTATCTTAGATCCAGTTATAACCAGTATATTTAAAGGAATAGTACACCCAAAACATGATTAGCCTTCATTTCCTACTCACCCCAATGCTGAACAACACTCTGGAGTACTTTTTTGATATCTCAAATGCATCTGGAGATCTGGGAGGCTTCTTGCTGTCTGCTGACATTCAAATAATGGAGGTCTATGGAGCCCGAGGCAGAAAGGTCCATAAAAGTCCACAAAAAACGTGTCAATATTCCTCCATACTGCTCGTCCAATGTATTCCAAGTGTCCTGAGTGGGTAGCGTCCAGAATTTACTCGAAACGAAGTCATTTAGAATGTTTTTAGAGCATAAACATTAGTGTATAGGATTTCCTGAAAGCGAGTTCACGAGTCTACGGAAACCGCGGCAGACCAAACCAGATGAAAGTGCGCATTCAGCTCGGCAAAGAACTCATGCTCTTCCTCAACACTGAAGTCCTCAGACATTTTTCTTTCGTTGTTTCTTTCTTTGCACAGGTAAACAGCACATTTCCTCTTCTACGCTTGCATTATCGGCAGAGCAGACGCTGAATGCGCACTTTCATCTGGTTAAGTCTGCCGCGGTTTCCGTAGACTCGTGAACGCGCTTTTAGGAAATCCTATACACTACTGTTTATGCTCTAAAAACATTCTAAATGACTTCGTTTCGAGTAAATTATGTACGCTACCCACTCAGGACACTTGGAATACATAGGACGAGCAGTATGGAGGAATATTGACACGTTTTTTGTGGACCTTTATGGACCTTTCTGCCTCGGGCGCCATAGACCTCCATTATTTGAATGTCAGCAGACAGCAAGAAGCCTCCCAGATCTCCAGATGCATTTGAGATATCAAAAAAGTACTCCAGTGTGTTGTTCAGCATGGGGGTGAGTAGAAAATGAAGGCTAATCATGTTTTGGGTCTCCTATTCCTTTAAGGGAGTATTCCCTTTGATCTCCTCCTATATTTTAGATGTGATTAATCTATCCCTGCTACAGGGATATGTGCCAAAGGCTTTTAAAGTAGCTGTAATAAATCTTTATTTAAAAAAACTGTCACTTGACCATGACGACCTGGTCAATTATAGATCTACATCCGATCTTCATTTCTGATCGAAAAGTCTTTAAAAATAGTAGCCCAACAAGTTTGTGACCACTTACACCATAAATAACTTCCTAAAGAGTTTTAATCAGTTTGACATGCACAATAAATACTGCAAATGCTGTGATTCAGGCATCACATTTCAGCATGGAAATAATATTCCTATAGTACGTAGCATAGCCCAGCTTTCAACTCTATAAAATTCAGGCTTTAACTGATTTAATATGTGATCACTTTTAATAAGAGGATAGTTTGTTTGTCGGCATTTTCTTCATTTCCTGGTAGGGCTTTAAAATTTAGATTTCTATGTGAAGTTTAAAGATAGTGGACATAACTCTCTGGATTTCTGGTTAAACCAACCACATCTGTTTCATTCACATAGATGTTGTTGGTTTTATCTAAATATTTCTGGAGGTTTATTCTAATCTAACATATAAGTAACCAGGTTAACACTTACAGCATCACCAGACAAACAGGTTCATTTCAAATCTTCTATAGGAGGGAACAACCCATGTAATTTCTGCAGCATGAAATCTAAAGATGAAATGAGGAAAAATATTTGATCACATAACTTGGCTCCTGTCAGCAGCCAATGAATTTTAACTTGCACATAACTGCTTGAGGCTGGATTTCTGTTATATTTCTTGCTAAGAGGTGTAAATACATTGAATATGAAATAAAAACAGCTGTAAAAAATAGTCTGTTAGTAAAATGCAACAACATCTCTGTGCAACTTCTGACATAATAAATGTCAAGTTTCACACAAACTTGTTCATTCATTAATTTTGACACAGAACCACGATTCTGGATTGGGCTTCAAACCAAAGCAGAAACCCATATGGGGCATAAACGACCACACACACGTACACGACGTACATACACCCTTTTTGGAAGGCTTCATTTGTATTTTAATTTTTTACTTTACAGTTTCTTTTATGTGTTTTTTGGCCACCGGACAGTATAAAATGCACTCACACATTTGTTCAGTTGTACATGAAAATAAATCCAAAGTTTGAAATTCAACTGTGTGCTTTGTATTATGTGTGGAAGGTTGGAAGAAAAATAAATGTCCCTGTTTTCTTTACGCTGTTGTTCATCTAATGCGGACTGAATAACATTTAGTCCGGAAAACCATGACAATAAAATGAGCACCACCAAGTTTGTGATGCTCTCTGTTAAAAATAAAATAAAAGATAAAACTAGAAATGTTCCAGACATGCACATTAGCACCCATGGAAGAAAATGGCTCTCCTGCTCAGAGACCCCACCATCCATCTGCACTCAGGGGGAGCAGCTGGAGCCTTACTGTATTATATAACAGCATGAGGAAAGATGGAGACCAACACTGAAAAGAAACAGAGGATGCGATTGTTACTGCCAAACACTTTCAGTTCATCCCTGGACAAAGGCCATGTTGTCTTCTCTCACTTTTATATTCTTGTATTCATCCACTGTGTGGCTTATATTTTATCTTTATGTAACCTAGACCCTCAGTTGGAGGCCTTTTGTTTGGTTGTACCTCACAGACATGAGATAAATATTTATATGAATCAAATATTGAAACGGTTGGACCAGAACGCTGGACTCTAAACTGCTTTCAGACTGAAAGCTGATAACCTTTAAGGACACTGCCAAAGAAGGAGCTTCCTAAAACACACTAGACCCCCTGGGGATCCTCCGTATAAAACACTTGTTCCCCCACACAAAGCTCTATTTCACCCTTAACCAATCTGGACGTGACGTAGCTGAAGTCGCCCTAACGTCTAAACTGTTGGCATTAAAGGAGAAGTCTGGTGATATTCAGAATTCAAACTTCTGAAATTACTTTAAATATGAAATGATTAAATACTGTTCAATAAATGATAAGTGTTTTTAATTAAGAGTAATTCTCATTTGAATGTGCTTTAATGAAGGCATCCATGTTTGTCAAAGAACACTACTGCCACCTACTGGTTTGTGACGTCACGGTGCGGTATCGGCTGTTGATCAAGTCCCAGTGCTGTATCTGGTGTTTGCATCTGCATCTATTATCCAAGTCATCTTGAAAACATTCTTCCAAATGTTGGCTACATATTACGTGTTTTTCTCTGAACAGAAATTTGATGGTAAATCCTCCCTTTTTAAGTTGGTAATCCACTTTTAATTTTTTTAATTTATTTAATTCACTTTTACCCAATGTATTCCAACATCCAACTGCGATGAACATGGGCATTGTCAGTTTCACTATAGCTCTGGTGAATTTCAATGGTGAAGTCTTTTTTTTTGTTAGTCTGCAATGCCCCATACCTGTCTATGCCACTGAAAGGCGGGTTGTTAAAGGGAAACGTTGGCTTGGCTGACTAGGCGAGGTCTTAAGTGCCCCTATATAGGGGTTAGGGTTGCAGTGCTAGTGGTAAGGAATCGACTCTATCGCTCCACTCCCTCTGTTTAAGGTTGGTTTTTCCTTAAAGGAATAGTACACCCAAAACATGATTAGCCTTCATTTTCTACTCACCCCCATGCTGAACAACACTCTGGAGTACTTTTTTGATATCTCAAATGCATCTGGAGATCTGGGAGGCTTCTTGCTGTCTGCTGACATTCAAATAATGGAGGTCTATGGCGCCCGAGGCAGAAAGGTCCATAAAGGTCCACAAAAAACGTGTCAATATTCCTCCATACTGCTCGTCCAATGTATTCCAAGTGTCCTGAGTGGGTAGCGTCCATAATTTACTCGAAACGAAGTCATTTAGAATGTTTTTAGAGCATAAACAGTAGTGTATAGGATTTCCTGAAAGCGCGCGCCTGCGAGCTCACGACGCTACGGAAACCGCGGCAGACCAAACCAGATGAAAGTGCGCATTCAGCTCGGCAAAGAACTCATGCTCTTCCTCAACACTGAAGTCCTCAGACATTCTTCTTTCGTTGTTTTTTTTCTTTGCACAGGTAAACAGCACATTTCTTCTTCTACGCTTGCATTATCGGCAGAGCAGACGCTGAATGCGCACTTTCATCTGGTTTGGTCTGCCGGCTTACGTAGCGTCGTGAACGCGCACGCTTTCAGGAAATCCTATACACTACTGTTTATGCTCTAAAAACATTCTAAATTACTTCGTTTCGAGTAAATTCTGGATGCTACCCACTCAGGACACTTGGAATACATACTTTAACATAAATGGCTTCCTACACTTCCCTCTCAAACCACCTGTCTTCTTTGTCCAATATGTGAACATTCTGGTCCTCCAAAGAAAGATGTACCGCAGTCTTGTCCAGAGGAGGGCGCTCTTCTGTTTTTTGGCCATTCGTCTGTGGAGAGGTTGTTTGGTTTCTCCAGGTTAAAGATCAGAGCATTCCTCACTGCATTGAACTGCAGACACCACTCCACTCAGATTTGGTTTGGGGGTTTTGTCCAGGATGCACTAGCCTCTGTCTAAGGGTGTTGTTTGGTTTGAAATGTACTGGGATTTTATGTTTGGAGAAAATCATCTTGAGTTTTTCAGAGACTCCAGCAACATATGGGATGGCGATGTTTTTGCGATTATTCTTCTCACCGTTATGTCCTGCTGTGTGTCTTTTGGATTTCCTTGCTGATTTGACAAACATCCAATTTGGGGATCCACAGGTTTGAAGAGCATCTTCAATGTTTTTCTGTTTTTGTCCTTCCCTTCTGTGCTTCTCGAACTCAACACTATTCCTGACATTTTGAAAGGAAAAAGCTTCCTGGATGGGAAGCGAAACATCGTCTAACTTGGAAACAAAGTCCAATAGATTGTTTTTTTTTTTTACTTTTTTAGGAATGAATATGAGCTGGATGACTGAGAATCTTCACCAGCGTTTTGATCATCACCTTATATTTGATGTGTTTTTAATATGTTTTAAAACCCGAACTGAAAGCTAAGAGGCCAAGCTAATGACGCCTGTGTTATTAATACATTTATAAACAACAGTTTAAACACTAATAGCTGTGTTTTCTGACCTGCTCATCATATTTGATTGCTAAAATATGACCCAGAGCCCTTTTAAAAGAATCTCCTCCTGTCTTCTAGCCATTAGCTTTTTTATGAATTGATTTTGCATTGTGAATTGGTTTGAATGAGTTCAACTTGTTCTAAGTTAGTATAAAAATTTATTTTAACCATGCAGACAGTTATTTTTACTTCTGGCTCCTAGAAAAACAATGTTAGATTGTGCTAGATTTGGCGCTAGGCGCTCTTTTGAAATAAAAGTGCTAGAGGGATTTGAAAAGTCGCTAAACATAGCGAGAGAAGAGCTAAGTTGGTAGCACTGGTCTTTGCATCATATGTTTTCAAATGGTTTGCTGCTGTCTGTTTGGACCTTTCTGAACATGAGCAGCAAATGGACTGATCCAATATGGTGGAACATGAAGGGGGGCTGAGACATACATAATATTATAAGCGTTCTCATGGCATCTTAGCGAAAAGATTTTTCTATCTAAAAACATGATTTATATGCACAAATAAGGAATAGTTGTATTAACCATACATGTAAACAGAGTTTTATCGGGCCGCCAGGAACTTGGGGCCCTAGGGAACTGCCTAGTATTGCCTGGTGGTAAATCCCCCACTGAACTCACCCACCCTGTTTTTCCATGCAGAGCTGCCCACGTAGCTACAAATCTTCCTGTATGCATGTTATTTTTTATGCTATGTTATTTTTTATTGTATTCGAGCTCTTAGGTATTTCTTGTTGGGAAAGATCGCTATATGTTCTCCAGCACTATCATCCATGTTTACTTCCGCAAACACAGAGCACGCTTGCTTGTGACGTCAATGCGTTCTCTACTGCGCATGCGGGACACTTAGGTTGCATGAATGCACTTAGCACAGGAGATCACTTACAAGTCGCAAATATTTGGAAATGTGAACAGCAATGCAAAAAAATCGGATATCACAAAAAAAATCGGAATTGAGTATCAAGGCCTGCTGTGTGAACGTAGCAGCCTTTTTTCCCTAGGTCCCTTCTAGACTCCTCTGTCCACACCTGCTCCCAAACTGCTGATTAGCCTGATCTTTGTTCAGTCTCCCATTATACAACTCATGTTCAGTCACTGTTTGCTGGTTCCTTGTTGTTGTTAGTTGCTTCCTCGTCTCTGACTCCCCACGTGAGTTTTCCCTGATGTTTTCTGTTTTTTTGTATTTTAGAGTTTTGGATATCTGCCTCAATTTTTCATTAAACCAACAAGAACTCATCTCTGCTTCACTCATCTTTGCATTTGGGTCCTCAAGAAACCTCACCCTCCTAGTTGACATTAATATGAACATTTGCTTGTTTAGAGTACGAAAAATTTAGTCTTTTAAAAAGACATTGGAGAATACATTTATGTTTAATTGGTTCTTGATTTTTTTCTGAACCGCTGAAGAACAATCATTTCAGCAGTAGTACCGTTATTTATCTGTTTTAAAGAATTTTTGGTTTCTTACTAATTTTTTTGAATGATTATATGTGCAGAAGAAGACAATTTAAAGGCCTCTCTCTAAAAACAGAATATTCCTAAACCAAGTGTGTTAAACAGTCTTTGCTTATGATCAACTAATAAACTACCTTCAGTCCTGATATACTCCCAGAAGACGACATCTAGTTCTTTCTTTGACTAACATAACCCATGCATTTAGGTAAAAAAATAAAATCATATCAATTTGGTAGATCTTCTTTCACTGATGAACAAACAAAAAAAGAAGAGTTTCTGAAATATGCAATTTCTAATCTTTTTGGTGCGATTTTGGAAACAACACAGAAAACTTCCTCTTGGCTGTTGAAAAAACATTTGGTGCTTTTTTAGATTGTAGCCATAAGTTTTTTTTTTTTTTTTTACATATAAAGAATAAACTGTATAACAGCAGTACCACTGATTGGTAATGGGATGTTTGCATGCATTGCGTTTTCAGTCTCTGTATGTAGCATTATTGCTAGCCTATGTTCAGGTTCACGCCAGTCACAGTAAATATGTTTAAAATGTATGACTCGCTGTGTCAATGTGCTTTAAAAACAGATTAAAAACATCTGTTTGCATTGCTTGTTACAGGTCTAAGGGCTCGTCTAAAGTGTTGTTGTTATCTTCTGGATGTTCGCTGGCCAGGGGGTTCCTGCTGATGACCAGCTCCAGTCGGTCTCCTGCCTCTGTGATGAGGGGCACCGCTAAGCAGCAATCAAAGTCTCTCGTTCTGACATGGTTCACCTGGACACAATCAGAAAGAAAATGCTTCCTGTATAAATAAGATTTAAAAAACTCCTCGATTTATTCAATTAGCCCAGCCTTGTTTCTTGAAAACAAAAAGACAGAAAAAACATCTAAATTAACAGTGATAGGGAAAAAAAATGCATCACTGCGACTTCATAAAAAGTGGTGACATCACAGTTTTTTGAAAGACTAAACAATTTAGAAGAATGCATACTCTGAACAAAAAAACTCTCCATCACACCGATAACACCAAACCAAAAACATTGCATATTTGCACCAATGTTTACATTTGATCACTGCTGCACTTTATGAAATGGAAATGTTTATTTACTGTCTGAAAAAGCTGAACTAAAAGAAATTTCAATAAAAGACAATTAAAGCTGTCTAAGGCTAAGTTCACACAGCAGCAAAAAGTGAATCAAATCAGATTTTTTTGTGTGCCAATATTCGACCTGCACCTGAACCTGATCTTATCTAATGCGACCTGTGTGTGAACAGCCAGATCGCATTTATCCGAACTGAATGTCATTAATACTCAACAAAGCTTTCAAAGGCATCTTCCTACACAGAAGCGAGAAGAAAAACAACAAGCAGTCACTTTTTTTTAACCATCTTGAAAATATTGTGTTTTTAAGGTTAGGAAAGATCGCTAGATGTGCTCTGGCACTACCATCCCTGTTCACTTCCACAAACACAGCGCACGCTGGCTTATGACGTCCTCTACTGCGCATGTGGAACAATTGCGTTGTATGAATGCAGTTCACACAGGAGATCACATTCAAGTCACATATATTTGGAAATGTGAACGGCCATGCAAAAAAACCCAAATGGATTTCACAAAATCGGAATTGTGCATTAAAGTTTTACGGAAGCGGCTGTTCCAACTGTTACTTTTCCAGATTCTCCTGAGTGGTGCCCGACTTTACACAAGTGAATAAAGTGTATGTGATTGGTCGGTTATCAAGAGGGCGGGATTGTTTTGGCGGAAGGTTTCTCTGAAGCCTCTTGCTAACCAGTTAGCAACTTAGTGCTAGTAGGTTCCCAATGGGAAATTCCAATGGGACCAAGTAGCACTAAATTGGTGACTTAGAAACGATGCTGTCAAGGAACGCTATGGACAGAGGAAACATGCAAGAGGAGGAGAGTTTAGTGTCGGAGGGCGTGGATGAGTCTCCTCCGTCATCCATTTTTTATTTAGAGGAGAAAAGCGGGGATGAAGATGTTGTGGAAGAGGACGCCAGGGCGGCAGAAGCTTGGTTTGGTGTAGAAGGCTTCCAGCCGTACATGTTTGAGCCCTTGCCTCGCAACGCTGCCAGTTCTGTTAGCTCTACGCCTGCTGAAGACACAGACGTCCATCCCTGTGAACACTGGGACGCAACTCAATGGGAAAGGAAATTACTAGGGATGCACGATATAATCGGCCCCCTATCGGTATCGGCCTTAAAACTGAATATCGGACATCGGCCACCCCACCGATATTTAACCCGATATTTGATCAGCTTCTGAGTTTCTAAAGTCTAAAAAAAAAACAATAAATACTACTTCTTCTTCATCCTCAAAACCTCATTTTTACAGACTTAAAAACTTCTAAAGACGAGGGAAAAAATATTGATACATTAAAATATCACAATATCTTCATATGCTGATATATTGCCATTTAAAAACACCATATCAATCTCTTTTACTAATGAAATATTGCTATATGTCATCGTTATGCTACGAAATCCCCTGAAAATTCACAAAATGTTGCCATATTTTTATATGTTGATATATTGACGCGGTATCGATCTATTTTACTAACAAAATCTCACAAAAATTAGCAAAATATCACGAGAGTTTGTAACAGAACGATGAAATTCACGAGATTTTGAAAGTACAATAGATCGATACCGCGTTTTTAAAAATCAATTTAATATCAGCATATGAAAATATATTTGAGTATATTATTTTTCAAAGTATCAGAAATGGATAAAAAAGACTGCTATTTTCAATGACTACTTATTTTTGTAACATCGGTATCGATATCGGTTATCGGCTACATGAGTTTTAAAATATCGGCATATCGGATATCGGCCAAAATCCCAATATCGTGCATCCCTAGAAATTATTCTTATTTCTTATTTCAACGGTTGCATATATTAGCTGCGAAATATGAATCAAGATGCTATCACTGAAAGAAAAATGATTGACAGATGACCATTGATATATGATTGGCCGAATTTAGGTGTTCAGGCTGACGTATAACTAACTGGCCTGCAGAAGATAATGAAATAAAAACAACAGACTTTAAGACAGGATTTTATCTAAATTTTGCAACAACATCGTCTGATAAAGAGTACATTTTTATAAATGGTGGTAAATGATTGTGTGAACTTAGCCTTTGTCATACATTTGAAACTACTTTATGCAGTTTTTTTTTCAGCAATAAGTCACATTTGCAGGTGAAATCCCTGATAAGGCCACATAGATATCTGAACCACCCTCTTGAACGTTTCTGTAAATTAGATTTTCCTCCATACCTGCAGGATCCTGTCGAACGGCCAAAGTCCGGCTCTGTCCGCTGGTCCATCCGCTCTGATCATGTTCACATAAACACCTTTCTCTAAGAAGCCGTCTGATACGCTAAAG